ATGAAGAACTCCCAGCATAAATCCATGAAGTCACCTAATGATCATATTTCAAATATTTCCTTAAAACTCATTTATGTCAATTTGCTTTATTAGACCATTAGTTTAATATCACATGAAATAAACAACTCTTACACTCATCTTTTGGCTTTTATCATACATGCAGATAGTATGATACCTGGATGATGCCTTATTTTGGAGTGTTTGACTAACGTGCAGGACAGAGTGATCAAAATGCAGTACAAATTGATCAAAATGGCTGCAAATCTAGACTCTCACCAACTCTCATTGTCTCAGGTAACATATACATGACATACAATCGTTGAAAGAGAAATTCACTTTTAAAATAAAACTGTAAAACAAATCTGGTCTTCTAAAATAGATATAATGTCTTGAACCAAATATTATTTCTCCTCCTTGCTCACTGTGATATTGAAAATTAAAATATAATCCACCAGTTCCTCTGTGGCAAGTGTTTGTGTCAAATTTCAGTCATTTGTTTGGCTCATAATTAGCTTAATCAATGGTTAAAAACATTAAATATTGTATTGGCCTGCACTGCTAAGAGATTTTGCAATTTACATGTTACCTCTTACGACCATGTGGTCTTACAAACATGGATTCCCCAGACTTACTCATTTCCTGTGCAGAAATAGAAGGCAATGAATACAATTCATTCTGTATTTAATAAATAAACTAGTTGGGTATAAAGCTATAGCCTGCTCCAATTTACTACAATGAACAAAGATTAGCTGGGTACAGCTCAAGGCTTTTTCTTTTGTCAGGACATTTTAATCTTTACCATTAGCTACCTACAGTGCTACAGTTAGATCTTCTGATTTTCAAACCTGTTACTACCTTTGTGGCAAAAAACCCCACTATGTCTTTTTTCACAAATTAAGTTGAAACCATCAACATGTTTTGTGCTGAGATTAAATTCAAGAGCAAATAAAATATTTTTTAAAAAGGCACTTTTATAAAAGGTACCATTCAAAAACAGGACTTTTTTCCTATTTTTAAGATGAACTATAGAATACTGTTCATTAAATAATGATTGTCTTCTCCAGCTACTGAGACCAACTTTGGCTCTCCTCTTCTGAATTCTGATCTATAAAACTTATATGCGTTTTCAGTCTGAAAGAGATGGCTTAATCCAGTACAGTAACTATTGTAGCAATCATATTTTTGCAGTATAAGCAGTGGGTAAAATTAACAGCAATAATTCATTGTATGTCTAAATATTTTATATTTAAAGGGTAACACCCATAAATACATAATTATAATCCTTGTCACATTTCTACTGCAAAACATGCAATCATGGTTTTTGATGAAATTACTCACTGCAAATTATTAGTATTTTTTCTGTATTTATACTTTTTCCCTAAATTCAGACATGGCTAGAATATCCACTTAAAATATACTTTAACAGATCTTGAATGCTTTAATAGACTTATAGATAGGCATCCATATATATATATAAAGTACTTAAATTGTTATAAATACGTATTTGTTTCGAGTCTGAATTCATAGACTTGCCCACAACAAATAAAATTAGTAGTTTAAGAAAAGGATGTGAGAGTGGAATTCTATGCAATCTACCATGGTGTATGTGACTTATTGCCAAAAAAAACCCACCACCTCTGTTTTAGTCTTCAATTTAGCTATCTCAAAATTTTAAAAACAGAAGAAAGCATAAAAACAGTTGATGTACCCGGATGCATAGACATACTAAATTATAAAGCTGTAAATAACAAAACTGGGTTTTGATACAAAACAAAATAAAACAAAAGTCTCCTATATTTGGTATTATGGTGCATTTACATTAAGCTGTTTGTCAGAGATGAAGAGGTGATTGTCAAAGCAAATTTTATTGTATTGTAGTTGCATTCTGGTATTGAGATGAATACTATGTCTGAAAGAAAATGTCATCATATTCCTATCCGGAATATGGTTTTGAAAACTTTCTTCATTTTATCTTTACAGTCACTTATTTATCATATATCATATCATATCATATATCGTATCTATCTAGGTTTGTTATCTATTTGTAACTCTGTCTTGCATTCCTAAATGGTGTGCAAATTTTGTCCAGGAAAGAGACAATGATTCAACTATATTTTGCAGGCAGATAATTTATTTTCACGGTAGGTTAAATACAGGGCAACTCAGTTAAAGTGTTTCCTTTGCTTTAAGAAAAAGTCTCATAGAAATCTAATTAAATTTCTACAGTTGTGTTACATTTAGGAGCCAAGTAGTTTTTAGACAAAACAGGCTCCTGCAGCTGAGGCTGTCATTTAGTTCAAGGCGGTACTCTTTTTTCTTGAAATTCAGAGATTTTAAAGTTGTCTGTTATACAACGCAAAGTGGTTAGAGTATGAAATTTTAATTTTGGAATCTCAGATATTTTGACCTATGTTTACTACTATTAATTTTAAGATAATAAATTTTTAATTATATCTTTGCATAATGATGATTCGGCATATCATTATTATTATTATTATGTTAATTTTCTGAGCCATATTTTTTTGAGAGACAAATTATAATCCAATATTAACTTTCCTATATAAATGTAAACAATGAAATGCATTTTTAGGTATCTATGTGGCTAGCTAATTCAGACACATTTTACACTGACTTTCTGCAGCTTCTCCTGAGAATCAAAGGGTAATCCAATTATAAATGTGTTCACACAAGGATATCAATGATCAGTTTCAGAATCCAAGTTTGAAAATATTGACTTACATTGCCAATATTTCCTCTTTAAAATTTCCTTCAAGACAAAAGAATTGGTTCATGATAAACAGATTTTTTTTTTTTAAATTAAATTACAATTTAAAAAATGCAAAACAAATAGTGCAACCAATTAATTAGCCAGTTAAGGAAGACAGCTGTCCATTCCTGTCATACTAAGGTTTTTAGTTACCAATGTGCACAATGACTCTTAGCTTGCTGTCAAACTTTTCTGGACAGCAGCTCGTTAACTGTTAGTCTCATGCTTTGTAAAACAGAACCCTTAAATGGTCATGACTTTACAGGACATTTTCAGATAACGAAAATAGCTTTTCCATCATTCTTATCTACTGATTTCATGACTAAATCCATTAAATCTACTGATTTCTTCTTTTCAGTAGCACATTATGCAACAATTTAGGATGATAAAAACAGTTTTTCTGTCACTCTAATTTACTTATTACACAACGCTCCTCATTTCAGACGCTCATTGTCTTGATGAATCATCCAAATTTTGAATGTAAAGGACAATGAATTCCCTTTTGAGATTAACGAAACTTTGTAAAAGCAATTTGAAGTGAACTCTGAAAATCTATATATGTATATATAAAATCCATATATATATATATATCCAGAAAGTGTCAGCATCTTGCCATATTATAGTAACTGGTGTTATGCATTCTACTGGTATTGCTTCACTTTTATGAATAGGAATAAAGGTATCCATCAAAGGGGCTGATGAAATACTTATGCTGTATTTTTATTTGTAGATTTTATCTATATAATTATTAAATCATAAGAAATTCTCATCTCACCCAGAGTATAGCAGTTTACTTACAAAAAAGATTTCTTGAGTATTGTATTAAGAAAGTTAAGAAATTATGTAGTGTTAAAACATTTACAAGGCATTTTAAATCAATTTCTTTGAGGGGATCATTGTATGACATCAGCAAGGTGCTAATTACATAAAAGAGAATGGATGTATGGTCTGTGTTTTTTTTTTTTTTTTCCTTGGATAGTTAATTTCTGTTCCTCCTGACTGCTTTTGGAACAAAAGTAAGTAATGAGTCAGCAGAAAATATATCCCTGAGATGATCCTTATCACGATTATAGCAATCTGCTAGTGACTGTTTATTTTACACAGTTTTTAACATGTAAATCAACTTTACATATTGATTTACGACACAAGGAAATAAAAGTTTCTCTGTAAATGTTTGCAGTTGTCAGCTTCTAAAATCAATCTAATCATAACACAGGTGATACAAAAAGCTACAGCTTTCAAGTGTTTAAAACGTGTAATATCTGTAAAACAATGTTGATATGGTTAATAATTGAGAATTTATAATTTCTACATCTTGGCCTTTAAAAATATACTTCTACATGAAGCTAAGACCTCCATTGATTTGTAGAAAAATGTAAAATGTAAATGTAAATGAGTTTACTACTTTTAAAGACATTTTTCTCTAAATCTGTGTCAATTTGGAATAAGCACCTGGATTTATATTCCATGCTGAAAGTGATTAATCCTTTCTTTTCCAAAGCATGACCCCACTATCACTCTTCAGGTCCTTTCAGATGAATTGAGATATGGTAAGCATGGTATACTTGTAGTGGAATTGTTTTTCCTTTGTAAAAGATTTTAAGCTTCTTTAAGAAAATAAAGAAAATAATTGAAGGTGGGTTTTTTTTTTTTTTTTTTTTTTTTTTTTTTTTTAACTCTGACTAATAAAATCAGGAGACTGTGGTGAGATCTAGCGGCAAGTGGTTTGATGTCCTCAGCAGGACACCAAAAGTCAGAAGTAGTGCTGTAAATTCAGTGTGGGGCTTCGACACTGTGCTAAGTGTGGCCTGAATCTCTGGGGCTTCCCTTTGATGCAAGTGCAGTATATTAACTGGAAAAGCATTCACTTTTATTTGTCTGTACTGTCTGCGACAGCAATATCGCCTCATTTAGGCTAGTTCAACATGAAAATGCACAGAGAAGCAATCTGTTACAAATTAGCACAGCTCCCCTTTCATTTTACTAGCTAGTAATTGGAAGGGGTTACAAAAGTGTAATTTATCAGATTATATGTGTTTATCTTTTTGTGGGGACAGCATGCCTTTGGTGAATTTTCCTATGCACCCTGAGGGAATAATCTTTCCTTGATGTCCATTACATCTGAAAGAAAACAATGACGCCTGTGAAATATAGGAGTATAATTTGTTGGGTTTGAGAAGGAACAGTTTCCCAGACATCTAAAATGGTATTAATGACTTTATTAGAACCTTACCGTTCCTTGGAAATGCTTTTGCTCTCTCGTTTCCAAATGGTCTTGAAGTCACTGCAGAATTCGTACCACACCATGAAAACGTAGTTTGGTGTGATCTCCTTCTCACCAGGCTTTGGCTTTATCCCAAAGTATCCCACTGTTTCTTCAAAGCTACGAGGGAGGGGGGAAAAAACTGTCAACACATAAGCCCACTGGGGAAACAGCTTCTCTGAGGGCTGGTTCCTTATTCAGTAGTCAAGGCTGGTAATTACCGTAACTTCCCCTTAGCCTTGGAAATCAGAGCAGTAATTCATGCTGAGTATAACTAACCTTCCAACACCTACCTCATTCCCAGGGGGATAACTTACAGATGCATAAGCCATCATAGAGATATGTCACATAGGCAAATCATGGGCATTCAATTTTAGTGAGAAAAACGTAACTTCTTCCATTTCAGGAAATGCTATATTATATCTATTTCTTTGATTTTATTCTGCAACACTCCATGAAGATCTTATTCTCCCATTTATCTTTACTGAAGGACTATGTTAGAGTCACATGCCAAGTTAGGAAAAAATTTCCAGCCTTGGTTAAAAATAACCTTCAAGTACTTTGGGAGAATTGGGAGTAGCAACAAAAAAGCCACAGACAGTGCCAATAGTCAGTTTGCAAAGTTTTTACTGAAAACAAATCATCTCCTTCCACATGTGTCAGTAAGCAGATAATTAATTTTATGAAAATACAATGCAAATATTTTAATGCTTTTTTATTTTACAATGTGGCAACTGAATTGCTATACAGCTGGATATTTTCAAAATAGTCTATTATAGACAATACTTCTGTAAGCATTTTGATTGAATGTGCATTTTTAAAATTTATGGTATTGCTTTGAATAGATAAGATGGCATGAGTCACATGACCAAGTATTTATCTAAACAAAACAAAAGTATGTTCACTTTTTAAAGGGTTGAATCATTTTTATCTTCAAAGTAATGTAACGGTTGTGAAAGTTGCTATAATCTAAAAAGAAAGGTAACAACACATTTCAAAATAACTATTTTTTTTAAAATACTGATTTTATTTAAGCAAAAGAAAGTTATAGTAGTCTTTACAGTTGCCAATAGGCCCTGAATCTAGAACACAGGAAGTGTAAATCTTGAAAATAAAATAAATAATAGGTATTTGAAAGACTTGTATGGAGTTCCCAACTATTCAACAGAAGTTACTTGAGCAGCAGATGGAGCTTCAGCGAATATTTATTTCTTATACTTGCATTTGCATAGTCTATGTTGCATGTTTTCACATGGAATTGCCAAGGATAGGGTCAAGTTTTTTTGCCTTAGGTTGAGATTCAAGCTTTTAGCTAGGCTTGGAGCATATAAAGTAACCATCAGTATGCTCTGAGGGTTTTTTGGTACTTTAAATATGGATATAGCTTCTAGGACATGCTGAAGAATATCACATATTGTTCAAGGTGAGCTAATAATATAACAGTTTTTAAAATTCTCATATATGATAACCTTAACCTTTTAAATTTCTTACATAGGCTTTCTATGAAACATGTAACTATAGTTCAGGTTAATTGGTGATCCATGGTAAAGGAATCACAATGAAATAATTATGAATAAGCCCATAATATTCAGAGTTGAAGGGTCCTGTAGTGACACAACAAGGAGAAAATAAATAAATAAAGAAAAAAACTAATACAGCTTTAAATATCTGTGTAAACTATTCTGGGATTTAAAACCCTAAAAATACTAACATACCTTTGTCATAATCACATGGTTAAAACAGTTTATGTCTACTGGTCTATGTAATTTCCATTACATTAACTTGGGCCAAATATTCCTCAGGTGTTCATACCCCTTGACAAAGACAGCTGTGCCAGGAACAGCAAGATCCGAAACTCTCTTCTCAGGTTCGCTTCGTGTAACAACAGCCCCAGTAACATCCCGCTCTCTTCTTCCTACCAGAACCCTCCTCCATCCCAGCTGTGGCTGACCCTGTTGTCTCTACATGCTCTGGGATTTTGAATTCCTGCACACTCTCTCTCACTTTGCCTTCATTATGACAATCACTCCTCATCCTCTCTTCATGTTTCATCCTCAGCCCTTCCCGCTATGGCACAGTTTTGCTTTCACTCAGCTTGATCTAGCTTACTGGGCTGCTTTCTGACTTTCAAAAGTAACAGATCTTTTTAGCAGTAATTTAAAATATGGAATGTTTAGTTAGCAATTGAAAAACCCAAACTCTGCATCAGACAACCAGATGCTTAAGTCATCTGCAAATCAAATGTACCTCCGTACCCTGGAGACTCTACTCTGTTCCAGAAAGGCTACAAATCAGGTGGAATATGAAAGAGCCCGTGCCACAAAATGTAGGTTTGGAGCTAGGTAGAAAGGAAACAAGTCAGCCAGCCACCCTGGACAAATGAAATTAAGAGGTAGAGCCCCAGATAATATCAGCCAGTAGTTTAGCCAATTTAGGAACCTTCTGCAAGTTCACAAGGTTAAAGGCAGATCCTTCACTCTCACAAAACTATAATTTCATAAACAAAATTTATTAGAAATACTAGCTTATTAAATATTTTACTATCTATTTATAAAACAATTTCTCTCACTTCTCCCTCTATTTTGTCTCCTTTGGCCTAAGTAAGGCACAGATATTCAGACAATAAAAACATTAGTATTTCACTGGTTTCTTAGTATACTGCATTCAATAGCCTAAGTGCTGAAAATATTTCATGATGATGAAATACATTTTTACTACACTAAGTAGTTAATCAGTTATTACAATATTCTGTCAAATTCTGATTCAATTAAATGTTGACAGTAATTAAAACCTCAAATACAGTACACACTGTTTGGCTAAACATTCAACTGCACTTTTTCCTGAAAGACTACATAAGAATTTTTTGAAAAGCATATTACTTCTTTGAAGTACAGATCCTTTTTCCTATTGAATGTAATTTCTAAGATCAATAATATCTTTGACCAAAATAAACTGTCAGAAAACATTAGCAGAAACCTTACCATTTTTGTGCATTTTCCAAACTGCTTGCTTCTTTTTTATGTTCTTCTTTAGCTGCCAATGAAAAACATTTCAAAGATATAAAACACTGCCTTACTGTTTTAGAGATCCCACAGATTGAACATCTCTTACACTCAAAATTGGATAGGTTGTATACTAAATATCATAATAGTGATAAATATTTGCTAATTTTCAATTTTTATTTACTTCTTGTAATTAAGTGAATGTTTCTAATGTACCAATAAAGTGTATTGGATTTGAAAAGACATTTAAAATCCATACTAGAATACATTGTGGTAGACATTAATCTGAACAAAAAGCAAATAATTAAACATGACTTCCAGATTTATGAAAAGAACATTAAGTTGTGTATGTTTCTTTAGTGTTGCAGACCTGGACTTACAGATTTAAACCTGTATTTGCAGTGCAAATAATTGGAAGTTCAATTGGAATTGAACAGGTACCAAACATAGTTAACACCAACTGTTCCATATAGCTATCACATTTTGTTCAGGAAGCTGGAAAGTGAAAACACATGTACTAAGTTTTAAATGTATGGTATGTACATGATTTTTTTGAAAAAGCAGCCAAGATTTTGAAATATGGTTAGTGAATCTGAGCCCCTCTGTTACAGAATGCTCACACGAACTACTTAAAAGGATTTGATTTTCAAAGGATGGGCATTCTCTACTTATGAAAATGTTTCCTGAGCTGGATACTCAGGCAAAAGCACTCATTTTTTCACAAAATGTTGATCAATTTTTCTTAATACAGTGGAACAACTTTAGCTGTGGCTGAATACCACAGATGTAAAACAATACTAACGTGGAAAAATTATTCCTATTCCACATTAGAATCATCCTCTAAATGTAAATGTTAAGACAAAGATAATTCAGACACTTCTTTATACAAAGATTAAGAACTGTATCTTTTTTCTGCTCAGTCTATAGGAGTGCATTGACTGGCTGAAATACAGTTACGGACTTGAGTTCACAGACACGGCCACTGAAAAATTGATCTTATTTCATTATAAGGCTACTGACACAGGGGTTTTTACTAAGACAGTTAAAATAACATAAAAACTGGATTACTTCAGAACATTTGATGTTAAGAAAACAAATTAATTTCAACTCATAAATTTACCTATATTGGTTGAGTGTGTTGGAGATACTTATTCAAATTATTTCAGTATGGCAAAAACCAGAAACAATGTTGCATGCCCTTTTCAAGGAAAACTATTAACTCCATACCATTAAACTCTCCACCTCAAATCTTGGTGGCAAGACAGCTGCAACTGAAATAGATAGGGCAGCTCTGATTTATTGCATTCATCTCAGGCTCCTGAGAAATTCAGCTGAAGTTAACCTACTACACTCAACAGAAAGTAGACAAAAGGTGTGACTTATAAGAAAGAACACACAAAATTTACATTAATGTAAGTGTGTGTGTTTGTGTACCAATATAAGGGAAAAGAGGAAGTAAGAAAATAAGTGTATGATAACCATATTTTTAACTACAAGTATGTTTACTAAGGAACTATTCAAAAGCATTTATTTGAAATTTAGATGTTGAGACTATTTAAGAAAACAAACAACTCTATGCAACAAATTCTAACCAAATAGGAGTTACAAAAATACTACATGTGTAAGACAAGAAATGAGAGCAGTTCTCTATCTTCCATACATTTTCTAAGTAATCTTCCACTCAGAATTTGTAATATCCTGCTTTTTTTCTCCCCCTCCACAACCTGCAATAACTAACACTATCTATGCTGTCAGTAAAGGTTTCCATTAAAACTTGCATTTTCCTTAACAGAATCCTCAAAGCCCCATCCTCAAGATATCAATCCTCATCTTAACTTGTGGAATTAATGGAGGCAACTAAAATGAATTACATAATTGAAAGAACTTTATTTTTATTTCTCTGGCAACACCACATTTACTTGCATAGAATTTCCTTTTTTGCTGAAGTGGGATCATGTAATTCTTTCATCCTTAGACCACATGCTTGATTTCAGTTTCCTTAAGTTAAGAATGTAATAACAGCCATATCAGATTGGCACAGGGATTTATCTGGCCTAATATCCTGCCTCTGGCAGATACTGAAGCAGGTGGTCAGTTAGAGTTAAGGACCAGGACGACAAACACACGGCACTTCCCCTGAGTGTTCTCTCTGCCTCTGAGGTTCTGTAGTTCATACAGAATGCTTCCTGCTCTGGATGTCATTTCAATATAATTTTCAATGGACTCTCTCCCAAGAACTTGCTCATTCTCTGCTTAAGCTTTTATAAGATTTTTAGCTTCCACAAACTGCTGTGGCAAGTGTTCTACAGCCTAACAACATGTAGCACATTTTGTTTTGAAATGGACTCCTGTATCACTTTCTATTTCTTGTATTGAAGAAAAGCATGACTGCAGTGAACACTGAAATACAGTGACTACTGGCATTAGCTTTTTGATTAGGATGCTTTTGAAGCTAATTTCCTCACTGTCCCCATTTATTGAGCATTGATTTGTTTTGCAGATAAGTTTTGGAGCTTGCAAACTAATTTTTATTAGGAAGAAACTAAACAGGAACCTCCACCGCAAATGCACTTCAATACTTAATAGGGACAAAAGGACCAAAATAATGCTTGAGACTTCAGACAGCTTTGAAACACATGAGGTGCAGATGTTCACATCAGATTAAATCTAATACAAAGATTAAATCTCTACTGTAAACATACTGGCCTCTGCTCTTTCAATCTGCTGATGCAATCCTACTGCACCAAATTATTTCATAATGTAGCTGTAGATGTTCTACATTACATGTATACAGATTACATAGAGGTCCTTCAAAATAACTTCCCATAAGGTGCATTTGGTATGGAGACACCCTTCTGTCTGGCCTTGGAGTCAATAGGCTTGACCAGCTTTGAAAATGACAGGAAACTGTCAAATGTAACATTTTCTGTCTGGTCTCACATCTAAATACAAGTTCTTAATATGCTCGATTGTTTGGATTTGGTTACGTCCATATCCTGAATAAGGTATCAGATCCTGCCCTATGACAAGCAGACAATCTTAATCAATGTATGTTCCTTCAATATAGATATGAAAGCTGGGATCAATTAATAATTTCTGTGTCTCTCTACAGACAAGAGCTTTGAAAGGAAAACAGGTATTTACAGAATACGCAGTTCTAATTTGCTGTAATAGTAGTCTTTTGCAATACAGACAGCTATAGACTCTGAAGACCAGCCACTAGACTTGTTCATCTTGTTATCTTTATCTAGCTCAAAGAATAAATGGACTATGATCTTATGAATTTGCCTTATGAACCTGAGATATTTCTGGTGACTTCCTTTTACTGAAATGCATTTGAAGAGTCAGGAATCCATAACAGTTCTAAGAGTGAAAGAGTACTAGAGTGAAATGGTAAAAAAAACCCCAACTTATTTCTTCTACTTATTCTACTTGTGGAGGATGGAACAGCATGTCAAACACTATTTTGAGAATGAGAAATTACCAGAAGATATTTATTTTTAATGGGTCTAATATATGCAGAGCAGCTTCCAGCTACAACAGATTGAAGACCTCTTTATGCATCAGGTTACTATGAAATAGTTCCTCCAAAAACAAAGGAAAGAAAATACCGGATACTGACACAGACTGAAAGTTGGAGAAGGTTAGTAACTAACAGAGGCAAGCACAGAATGATGAAACTACCTGCTCTAAGAGAGGAGGACAAAGAAAGAAAAGTGGGCAGACACAACTGCACAAAAATCCCAAGTTACTTCTTCCCCTCCAGTGAAAATTTTTAACACTTACTGAGTCTGACTGGATAAGTTTTCTAGTATTTCTCTCTGACCTTATACATATGAGTGCATGTAAGAAGAATAATTCACACAAGTCTACAGATCTAGTTGTACCCATGACAGCTTTTTTATTTTTCAGTGTCTTACTATTTTAAGAATTGAAAGATATGATGCATAACTTTTTATAACTTTTCTAAGCTGTCCAGAGCATTGACAATCTTCAAAATTATGAGAACACTCAGACAACTAGCAGTTAGGATGGAGACATCAGAATTCTTAGTTTTATATTCCAAGGCTGAGTTCATGTGGTTCAAAAATGTATGCTTCATGAACTTTTAAAAACTGGTAAATTATAGGTTTTTCTGTGAGAGAAAAAAACCCACCCTAAAACAAAGTATTTGATTTTTTTTTGCCCCAAAGAAGGAAATAGGTCTTTTCTGACTCATGTCTTCCAACCAACCACAGTTAAGATTAAGACTGAATCTAGGGTAAGACATATACAAAAAAAAAAAGAATAAGCCACCATAAAAACCTACCAACAAAACAATATCAATTAACAAAAAAAAAAAAAAAAACAAAACAAAAAAACAAACCCAAACACCAAAATAAAACACACAAAACCCAAACAAAATCCTTAATGACATTTCTCACTGAACTATATAGAGCCTGGACAGAGGCTGTTAAAACAGTGGCAAAAGGTTATTATGACATTTTCCAGGCTCACCTAGAACTCACCTTCCTTATCAGTCAAGACTAAAACCTCTTAAGTAGTCATGTTGAAAGGTAGTCAAAAGATGAAACGTGTGCTAGAAACATACTAGCCACTTAATTAAGGGTTAAGAAAGAAAAGTATATCCCCAGAGAGGTTCAGCTGGGTTATATCTTTTTCCAAAGTGCCAAATGTCACATTCTGTGATACCACTGAGTAAGGAGAACAAGCAAAAATAGACCTTATTCTCTTGGTCTTTTTAAAGCATGAAGACATACCACCATTTGATAACATCCAAATCTCTTAGAAATGATCCATTGCTGATAAACTTGGGTATCAGAAGCTGAGGTCAAAAGACTGTATGGCTAAAAGTATACTATATGTATCTCCACCATCAAGTACAATTGTCATACAAGGGAAACTTTTTAATAACTCTGTTCAATCAGGGACTATGCAGAGTGGAAGAAAAAGCTCAAAGGTGGTTTTCCAGGTGGGCAAAAAGACTGGAGAGGATCATCAAAAGCAATATAGTTGTTATCTGTTTCTGTA